TACTGGGGCCCCTGCAGGTCGGTTTTTACTCGTACGAGCTGCTGGGACAGTCTCGACAAAAGGCCAAACGCCAATTTTGCCGTCGAATTTTTCCCTTGCCAACGCATTTGCGCGTGGCTCTGCCACTGCTACTAGAAACATAACTTATGGAATAAACCTCTTGTTATGTGTTGTACGAAGTGGACCAGTTTCGTCAGGGAGAAGATATATTTTTTGGTTAACCTTAGCTAGGTAAAACCACTTCTCGTCGATGTGAACAACATCGGACATGGTCGCAAACTTGTACGCAGCAATCGTCTCATCGTGCACCGAACAATTGGTCATAAACGAGAGTCGGGCAGCTTGTTTCTCCTTGGAGAGGTGTGGTTTCAAACGGTTGGAGGTCGGACGGAGCAGTTTTTTTGCTTTGAGCCTTGACAGGGTCGAGCGCGAAACACCAGAGTGGACAGCAAGTGTTCGGAGGTTCTGGCGGAGACGGAAAGGCACGGAACGTATATTGCCTTGTACGTCTTCGATGGGGTGCTTGGCGACGGCCCGATTTGGACTTTATGTGTCTCTTGATCGCGTCCAGCGCCCTTCCTTGATGCTGGTTTTCTGCAACCTCTTCCACACCGAGGCAATGGTTAGGCGGCTTCGGCCAAATTTCGCTGCGGCTTCGTTGATTGCTCCGTGCTCCAGCTTGTCGTTCTTGGTCCTTGCGGCGAGGTCGAGGCAAATGGACAGACGCTCATCGTCAGTCAAGTTCTTCATGATCGCAGCATTCGAGTTTGAATGTTGCGGGAGCCGAAGGCGATGATGTAGAAACTTATGGTGAAATGATTGGCTATTATTGACGCATGCAAGAGTGTATGATTGGCTGAAGTTTCCTAATAAATCAAATTTGTGGCCGCTGCGATGCTTTTACAGTTAGTGGGTTTTGCTGTTGTGTACGAATCGTCATTTCATTTTGACTACTTTGGTTCAATTTTTGTGTCAAAATTCGAAAAATTGAGCTTAATCCATACATTTTTGTGAAATGCATAGATCATTCTGGGACAGAGGTTGTATAGTTTATAAAGGTGTGTATTGAGGCTGTATCTTGACGACACAAGCGAAATTCCATTGCTTGAACGTCCGACGCGACCACGAACGGCACTTGCCAGGGCGGTCACGGGGTCCCCTCAGCCGAGTGGCAATGGCCCCAACGAGATCGCAAGAGTGCCTTGCAGAGGCAAAGGCTCGGCCAAGTGACTCGACTGGCATGTAGCGAATTCATACAATTTTCTGCGTGTATTGGGGTCGTTTGGGGCCGGCCACATGTCGGATATGGGGTCACCCCCATCGACGGTGGGGTTGTCTCCAGGTGTCCCCTGATGTGTGCTCGGGGGCGAGGCGGCTTCGATCAGGGGATCCGCAAAACAACGTGGTCGTAGATCGCACGGCAACTCCGTCGTCCCTGCCTGCATGCTGTGAGCACTACCAGCATAACCTGGGCATGATGTCCTGTACCGGTTTCCATCTTCATTGCATGTGTATCGACGGAAGACGACACCGGTCATGTCAGTGAAGTGCAGACCGAGCGGCACCTGGGACTCCAAGTGCGAAGGGAATGATGGATGTGCGAGAGACGAATGACTGCCGACTCGCATGTCCGCCACGAGGACTCGTCGTGCACGTCGCAAGATCTGAATCGTCGCGCTCAAGGACCTTAGCTTCCGTGGTGGCATGAACACGATGGTTGAGAACTCGATCACGATGCCGAAGACGCATGTCGGCATCGTGGGACAACGGACTGGCACTTTGGTTTGATATGGAATCGTCTAACTGAAAACTATGGAGGCGGGGGGTCACAACGTCTCGGCCGGCGCGTTGTCATCGGAAAAGAGGTCTTCCCTGATGGCGGCAATCGACGTCATGTTGCGCGATGCGGCTTCCTTCCACAGCGCGTAATTCCGCTTGGTCGACATGTGGATTGGTCGAAAGCTGTCTTGGAACACGACCTGCGACACCGTGTCGAAGAACGGAAGCACGATAAACTCGAAGAACCCGATTTGGTTCTACAACAGCCGTGAGCGAATGAGCCAAGGGATCGCGACCCGACCTTGGCGCTGTTTTCAGCCCACCGATCCATGAACGGCGACACCTCGGTCGCTGAGTCCCGCTCGGCGTCGCCTTGGAGAAAGAACTCTTCCACGATCAGCGACGACCACAGACCGTGCAGCTTGACCGACTTGGCCGAATGCCCGATGTCCCCACACTTGACTACGACCTAGAACGTGGGCAGCTCCGTCAGCCACACGAGTTGAATGGATGGCTGGCGAAGGCGGCGCACCCGCATGAGGACCATCGGGTCGTTCGCGATGTCGTGTTTTTCGTCCGAGATGATCATCGATTTGAGGCTTCCGACAAGCTGCAAGTGCATGCTCAGGTCGGTGGCAAGCACCATTTCAATGATGGCTTTGCGCATCTCGCGGTACGACTTGTCCTTCATGCGGGCCCAGATGTCGCAGTTCGGGTTGTCCTGCGTGAGCAAGAACGACTCGGCCAGGTGCATGTTTTCCAGGACCGATTTGTCGTGGTACTGCATAGCGAGGCGGTGCCGCGCCTTGATCATAAAGTTGTTGCTCTTTCCAGGGTGTTTGTAGTCGTGGATCGCGGCCGCGACGAGGGCGGCAAAGAACTCATTCACGGTCAACAGCGACCGAATGTATCCGTTCTGGAGCTGCGCGATCAAATAGTTGACCGAATTCATCACGTCTGCCGCGTGAAACACGTTGTGCTACATCACATCAAGTCGACCCATGAGCTCCACTGCGCCACGAACAAAGCGCACGTACGTAGGGGTTGCCAACGTAGCCGTTGTCGATGCAGTACATAAAGTTTTTCATCGCGATGCGATCGACCTTGACGTCGTCGTAAAAGTTGTAGTGCTCAAAGAGCGCGGTCGCGAGCACAAAGAGCGGCCGCCCGTTCGTGTCGAGCGTAAACACGTCCGTGTTCCAGCCTTCCTTTTGCACGGTGGAGACGACTGTCGCCAGCATCGCCGTGTCCAGATGGGGCATGTGCTCGAGTGCAACGACGGCTTCGCCATAGATGTGGTCCCTCGACTTGGAACGGACATCGATGTGGTTGCTGCCCGTGCCGCCGACGCTACCGGCGTTGGTGGCCGACGCCATCACGTTGGCCGCGTTCGAGAGCCGACTTGTCGGGTTGTACTCTTTCTTGCCCAGCACCGAAATCGCCCAGTTCTTTGTGTCTTTGTCGACTTCCGAGTCGGAGTTGGCCATTTGAGTCGAAATGTCGGGCGTGAACAAATTCGTGTCGAGGCGGCTGAGCGCCGACACGATTGCTGCCATGCGGAACGCCTGGGCGTCGGTAAAGTTGCTCTCGTCCTGGAGCGCCCTCAGGTCCGAGATGATCTTGTGCACGGGGCTTTCGAGATCGATGGGGTTCTCCAGGTAGTCCTGCTGCTTCTTGAGTTCCTGCTTGAGGTTCTTGTTCTCTTCGGCAAACACTTCCCGCTGCTTCTTGGCAATCTCAGCTTCCTGCTCCTTCTCGTGCATTTGCAAGAATTCGACGCGGAGCATGCGCTCCATGTCGCGGTTCTGCAGCAACATGATGATCGAAAACAGCAGCGGAAAGCAAAACACCAAGATCTTGTTCGTGTTGAAGTACTTGTTGGACGTCGTCGGGTACACGAGCACCGTCAAGATCGTGTACGCCAGCGTTGTGACTACGCTCACCTACATGCGCGTCACGGTCAGTTGAGGAACAGGACGAAAGGGGCGGACGATGGTTTCCCGCCGCCCGTCGGAAGCACATCCATCGACACGCGTGCAGTCGATCGAGGCGCTTACCACGGCGGACTGCATGGACCCAATGCGCAAGAGCGGAATGAAAATCGACACGAGCACCATGCGGAGAAGGTTGATGTTCATCGTGGCCGCGGGCAGGAGGACGTCACCCATGTAGTCGAACAGAATGTCGCGGCCGGTGCCAGTGTACGACGGATATGGCCAGGCTTCGTCGTCGTGCGAGATCGTAAAGACGTCGGTTGCGTTGAGAAAGTGCGTGTAGTTGAGGAGCTTGGTCACGTCATCTTGGACGTACAGCTTCCACTCGTGCAGCATCGAGTACATGCCGCCGCCGATGATGGAGAAGGTCCAGCACGTCACGACCACGGCGTAAATGTTGTGAAAGTGCGACTTGAATCGTTTGAGTGTAGACACCCACAGCATGATCGGAATCGGAATCATGGCCGGGAACACGTACAAAAAGTACGTTTTCGACTTGTCCCGGACAACGTCGTCGGGCGAAATGAGGTTGTACAAGTTGGGCGAGATCGTCATGAAGTAGAGCAGGAGAAACACACACACGATGCGAAACGATCGCGGCGACCACTCCTTGGCGGCCTTCTCCATGTACAGCTGCTCGAGCTTGGGCTGGCCCACGAACCGCGCCGTGAGCGGGTGGTACCGGATCACCGCCACGTTTTTCACGGTCGTGTGCGACTTGAATCGAATCGTGTCGGCCATCGTGACCATGGACGGCGAGATCCGGGTGAACCGTATAAACTTGACGTCTGGCATGTTGGCCACCGCCACAATCACGCGCGCTGAAGGAAGGCGCGGACGCCGCGACGACTGCGTCCCTTCGGACCACCAAAGCGAGCTCTGCTCCGCTTGCCGAAACGACTCCTAAAATTAGAGTCGAAATCCTGCCGACCGAGCTATTTCGAGCTCGTAATCATATCCCCTGTTATGAAAGGACCAACTCGGTCGAAGTAGCAACGCCGATTGAAATCGTGATCTCGGACACATTCGTCCTCTCAGGGAGTGTCGTTGGCCTCTGGCATCACTCTTGTCCATGCACTTGCTTCAACTTCATGCCGCACGAGGTGTCCACTCAAGCAGCTGCGGCGACGAACGCCTACATCGCACACATCGCAGTGGAGACAACTGCTTCTTTCATGTTCGACCTATACAACCTCGCTTCTTGGATTGTCAGGTCCAGCGCCATGTGCACACGCATGCAGAGGCTTCGACGCCATCGCAAGAGCTACAGGGCACTGTTGCAGCCATCGCGCATAGGCTCCGTGTGTCTTGAGCCGACATCCCGACCAGGACGCAGCGATCACCGACCCGCCTTGTCATTGTCGATAGATATGTATAAATTGATTTGACACGGGAGGAGCGCTGATCCTGCTACAAGTACTTGGGAGGCTGCATGTACCTTGACTTGACCACGGTGTGTTTGATGGGTGGCTGAGCCGCGACCCTTGTCCTGAGCTCGGCAAGACCAGGTCCGAGTTTTGCACTTGTTCTTGTCGTCGAGAACGACGGGACTTTTCGTTTGAGCGTGAACGACGGCGCAGGCTTGATACTCAAGTGCGGATGACCAGTCGGCACGGCAGACGGAAGCGTGGGTGTGTTTTCCTTGAGTAGCGCTGGCGTCAGGTTGCTCCCTGGCTGTGTTACGTCGTCCACGTGAGACGTCTCAGGAGATGGATGAAGCGCTGGAGATGCATGCACAGTCGCAGTTGTTGCAATCGGTAGCAGTGGAGGAGCGGACAACGACGGGGTGGCTGCACCACCGACTTTTGTTTTTCGATTCACAATGCGTTCCATGGCCAAGCGAGTTTTGTTGTACTTTTCTTCCAATTCCGTGTACGCGTATTGCAGCTTCTGGTGGTCGCTTCCCGCCTTTTCGGCCACCGCCAGTTTGTGCCGCTGTTTTTCGACCCTGTCATGCACTTGCGCCAATTCCTGGAGAACTGCCACGACTTTTTCACGAAGGTTGGTGGGATCGTCAACGCCCAGCAGCTGCACCAGCTCGGTATGCAACGCCTCGACCGACCTCAATTGATGTTTTGTGTCTTCCAAAATGGTGTCTTGCCGCTGCAACCTGAGTTCGTACTCGTGGGCTTGGTCCCTGCACTTTTTCTCAACGTCGAGCTCCATCCGTCGGGTTTGAAGTTCCCGCATCTGTTGGTCGAGCTGAATCTTCTTCTTCGTGTCCAGGATGGTCGATTCAGCATCCAAATGGACCTTCTGGTGCTGCAGCAGTTCGTGGTCCTTCGCGTTGAGCTCGGCCTGGAGCCGAGTGATCTCGGCTTTGAGGAACGTCGTCTCGGACACATGCCGCTCGATCTCGGTCTTGCTCGCCGCCATGTGGATCTGTAACGTTGCGTGCTCTTCCGTAAGTTGCAATAGCTTGGACTTGAGAAGTGTCGATGCCGACTCGACTTCCCTCGATCGTGCGTTGACACTTCGCATTTCTTCGTGCAGCGCATTGACTTCGCCTTGAAGTCGCGCAGACTTTTCGACCATCACCTGCAGCTCACCTTCCGCTTCGCGCTGTGCATCCTTGCTCATGCCTGCCTTTGTGGTAAGTTGATGATTCACTTCTTCGAATTCCACTTGCATGCGACGGATCGTGCCTTCCAGCTCCAAAATGGACGTGTCCTTTGCGGTGTCTTGCCGTCGAAGCTGTTTGTTTTCACCATCTAAAGTCTGGATTGCAAACTCCTGGTCGCGGAGGATCTTTTTGAGCATGTCAACTTCGGCCAACTGTTTGTCGCGGGACTCGAGTTCTGCTTGAAGAATTTGGATTCGATTCACGCTGGCCTTCCACGCCGCGTCCATCTTTTGCAGATTTGTCAACGCCTTGTCATGCTTTGCATTCGCTATGAGTAGCATCTCTCGGTGTTCAACTAAGCTTTGTTCCATTTGCACGAGCTCTTTCTTCATGATGAAGCTCTCTTCCTCCAACTCCTGTGCCGTTGTATCGCCCCCCATTCGTTGCAGCAGTCGCTCCTAACATGGTGAATGTTGGGCTGTTGAGTTGTATGGCGTTCTACTCACCCTCAGATGAGCAACTTCCATCTTCAGGTCCATACGGTCGCGCTCGGCCTGGTCCAAGCGCGTTTTGGTGCATCCCACCAGTTCGAACGCGCCGTCGGCCTTGCGCATCACGGCAATTCGAATTTTCAAAATGTCGTGAATGACCGGATAATTCAGGTCGCGTATCCGGGTATCCTCGGATTTTGCTCTTCGATGAGTTGGCGCATCTACGAAGATGACCAGGCACACTTGCAAGGGAACCTGCGCAAGCAGCGATGCGGCAACCAACCAAAGCAGTGCCCGACGCTGGGGTGGACCGCTTCACAAGAAGGGGGCCATTTTTATGTGAAGCCAGACTGGCTTGCGAGTACAAACCATCCGCCGTATCGCTGCCGACCGTGCCCTTTGCTAGGTGCACAACGTACTCTGGATCCGTTGAACGGAGTCTAGCGTGAAAAGATGCCGTGTATATGCTGTGCTGCAAGTGTGAGCGGTGGTGAAAGCGTTGTTTGAGGACTTAGGTGAGCACGTCGCTCACCACCGTCGCCAACGTTGCCCTTCGAGGCATGCACGATTTAAGTCAAGAGAACCTGGTGGCATGGCTGAAGAAGGTTCATTTCTCACATGGACGGAGATTATTGTGTGGCTAGTACACTCTCTTCAAGACTGCTACGTCGTTGAAAGCTGGTTCTATCACGAACTGTCTGCCTGTTGCAGCCCCTTGTCGGCGTCCACCTTGGGGGCCTTCGTGCACGAATTGATCCACAGCCGTTTGCGTACGTGCATGGTCGCGCTGTCTCGACGGTGCCAAGGTCCCTTGAACGATCGAGCGTACTGCCATCCATTCTCATCGCCGAGCCGGATGTCGTACACCCACCCGACGTGGGACACAAAGCCAGGGGGGATTGGAGCGGTGGTATCGGCCATGTGAAAGCCGCCGATGGCTGTGGTAGGGTCCTGTGTATGGTCATCAGAGCATTTCGTCCACGGGTATGGGTCTGCGGGCGGCAAGTCCAAATACTCTTTGGACCATTCGCGGCGGACGATGGAGAAGCGCTGGTGCTCCCAAACCTCCAACTGGATCGTTGCATCCTTGTCTTTCGAAGACAGTGTGATGATGTCAAAGGCAAGTTCAATGTGGGCAGAGTGCACTGGCGACGGTCGGCGACGGCGTCGACTGGCGGATGTGATGACAGGAAACGTGTGCGTCGTGCACTGGGGAAGGTGGATGCCAATGGGAATGTCACCCAAGTGGATGTGCGCCTCACCGACCAGCTCGTCGGGGATAACGTCATTGTGGTCAAACACAGACACGCGCAGAATGCACCGCTCGCGCTCCGTCTCGGACATCGTCACAACATACACTTCTCCCGTCCACGTTGGGTTCACCGTGAATGGAACGACCTTGGTCACGTACGGCCGCGGGGTTTTGTGGACGCCACGCAGCTCCATGACAACGTACGGGTCACAAGAACACGAGCCAAGGATCCCCATGTCTGGCGGGATGTCCACCACCCGCTTCACGTGGATGCGGACTTGCTGCTGCCGGTCCATATCCAATTGCGTTCGTGGGTCAGATCCCGTCACAAAATCCTGTAACGCGTCTCAATTATTAACCTTTCTATATCCCTACTTCTCCTGTATCTACCAAAATCTCCCTGATACTGCACGACAATACACTTGAATTATGACTAGGTTCACAATAAATGAATATAAATCCTTAATCTGTGTTGTGCTGCACCTACAATTAAATGCGAAATTCACCGGCCGACGCGAAACCACCGTCTGTGTCAGAACGTTGGAGAATCGGCGGAACAAACACATCACCGCCCCCGTCTGCCGCGCGATCGTCGTCGCTCCATGCATCCTCGTCTTGGGCAGCGGTCGTGGACCGTGGCGACGGCAGTGACTCTTCATGGTCGTGTCGTCCATGTCTTGGGTCGACTTTGATGTCTGGTGGTGTCCACAACATGATGAGTCCGTCTTCGCCACCCGTGATTAATTCCTACACAGTGCGTTGAGTCAGGACTGCTTCATGCTCAGTGTGCGCACTCTCGTCGTGGGTCGATAGATGCAGCTCGTCACGCGACTGTAGTGCGCTGTGAGCTTGGTACAGGGTGTGCTGTGGTTAACTCCATGCAGCAGGTGCGACACGACGGATCCGTTCGACCCGACAGGATGGTATACCTGCGAGTCACGTGCGTGAGTGCCCGTTGTCCACCACTCGATGCGCCACGTACCATGGTGGAATCGCTGCCGCCTTCTTGAACAAGGCCAATAGTCACAGGGCGAGGACCCTTGCACTGGATCAAACCATAGTTATGAAACTAGGCAGGTCGCGTCAGCACGATGGAGACCATGGAGTGCCTGCATCTTCACCAAGTGGACTCCCGTCGACGCGTTCCAAAGCCGCATGCAGTTGTCCCCACCGGAACTGACTAAGCAACGACCGTCCGGTGTATATCGGAGCGACTGAATTGCCTGAGTGTGTGCTTGGGCGCTGGTGCCATGGTTCTCTGCGCTGCAATGATGGGGGTCGTTGTGTCGGGGGCGTTTCGGGACGCGTACCTACCAACTCGTTTCATTCAGTGCCTTGGAAGCATGCGCAGTCAAATCGTGGAGGACAGGTGGTAGTCATGAGTACAGGGCACAGATACACACCGCTGCTTCGTGGCGGGGAATATCTGGAAGACCATCTTGGTTGAGGACCATCAAGCACGCCGACGCGCCCGACCTCCGAATGTCTAGAGATGGCGACGAACATGGCAGCATCCTGCTTGTGAAAAAAACACTCAAGATCGGCACGCACCCCACAACCGAATGGACCCGTCGGCTGCACCCGTCGCCAAGTGAAACTCGTCTGAGAGGGACCACGCAATACAACGAACGGCGGCGCGATGGCCGAGAAGGCGGTGGGTGCTGGCGCCAATGGCTACGTCGCACAGTCGGACGTCCGCGTGGTCCGTGCCGACAGCAAGTAATGTGGATCCGCAAGGAGAAAAGCACGCGGCATGAACAACGTCGTGGAGACAAAACGCGCTCGCGACGTCCATTTCATTCGCATCCCACAGCTTGACTGTGGTGTCTTGGGACCCAGTGATGAACATTCCATTGTCCACAGGGTACCATTGCACAGCGGTAATCCCAGCCGCATGTCCAGGCAGGTTCTAAGAGACTTGGATGACGGACGAATTCCTCGTCGTGCGCGTTACCTGCGTCTGCGCAGCATCGAACGTTCGTACGTCTCGGGGTCGCTTCAATGGCTTGACGGTACACATCGGTTTAATCGAGCTGGAATCCTCAGGAAGTGGAATCGTGTCGAAGATGGACAGGTCAAAAATGCGTAGGGCACCGGTGCCCGCCCCCACGAGCAGATATTGATTCTCGACCGGATCTAGATCCATGTGCCACACGTTCATGCCTTGTCGGTGAATCACTTTCTTCTGGTTGACCTTCAACTGCCTTGAACCTTCCGCGTACACATCCTCAATGTACTCGCGTGGCGAAACCTCCCCAAGAGACCGCCGCAGGACATGCGCATACGCGCTTGACCGCTGGACTGCCGCCATCGTGTTCAAGCATCAAGATGGAGGGATCCGGATAAATTTCCATTTTCCGGGAACTGAAACGGCAATGTTTGAATGTGGGCGGCTGGTTGTCGACATCCTCCTGATGGAACCAAGGGCGGCATTCACTCTTGGGCAGATATAGCGCATATCAAGGCACCTTTACAGGATCGAGCAACTGCGAGGGTCGAGCAGGGGCTGCAGTATCTGAGCTACAGCTGATGGAAAGCGATGGTATCCTAACCGACGTCTTCCGATGCGCCAAACCAAGTAATCTCGCAAGGTACAGTTGGCGTCGGAAAACGATGTGTGCTTTGATCGGAGTACAAAACAAGCGTTTTGTGGAGGTTGGCCTGTCACTTGGGTCAAGCGATGGACTAGCACGAGCGGTTGGGCTCCGCTGCAAACATGGATCTTTGCGATGGTTGGTGTCGTGGGGCTCGCAAACTCGATGTTATTCGCAAGCACGAATACATCGTATTCCCAACAACGTTGGCGCTACCCTGTCGCCAAGACTTGCCAGCTCCTTTTCTCAATTCGCCAAATTCCATGCATGCCATGATCAAGTCTGTCTAGGTCGCCGCGGTGACCATTCACGACGTCCCTGTGCCGATAGCGGTGCTCCCGACCCAAGACGGGCGGGGGATAACCCGCGAGATCACTCATCCCTCGGACTTGCACTCTTCGAACAAAACAAAGACCGAGCGCACGACCCGTCGACGCTCCATGAAACACAAACGGACGTACAATTGCGAAGAAAGCTCCATGGACGTGGTCATGCCAGAGAGCGTGAACGACGATGTCGCGTTTCGGGCGATCAAGTCCAACCGCTGGCCGACGACGTGCCGCTCGTCATGTGCGGGATGGGATGTGACTCGACACATCACGAGCCGTGCCAGGCACTGCACTCGCGTAATGCCATCGTGCAATACCACTTGGATATCACGCGGAGGGAGCAAGTGTTTGTTGCGTACGAGAGTGTGTGGATGTTTCTGTCGATTTTTCAAGTTTACACAAACCAGGTCAATGGACTTCTGTCGGTGTTCGTCATGAACACGCGTCCGTCGATCTCAAGCAAGGGGTACTCGACGCCTCGGCCCGGTCGTCGCACATCGTGGCGCTGCCCTCCGACTGCGATCGTCATCTCGGTGTGTGCCAAGATGGCGTGGTGTAGTTTCCAGTGTATATAGTAAATGATAAGCTGGCTGGTGGGGGACCCGCTACGGTTCTGGCAGCACGCTCCGACAGGTGGGGCACTCCATTTTGACTTGCATCCATTCTTGCAAGCACGGGCGATGGAACACGTGATCACATGGAGCTATCATGTAGTCACGGGCTTCCATATCGAGCTCCACCTGCGCATGGGTCAGCCCATGGTCCTCAACACGCGCCGCACGCACCATGCAAATGACACAGTCTAGTTCGTCGCCTTGGTTCACGCGGAGAAGCGACAACTGGTCAGGGTCCATGCGCCGTTCGTAGTTGTACTTGACTGGCAAAAACATGGCCGGGACAAAGAACCGAGGGCCCCAGTATCGCTGAAGAAAAAGCACAGCTACTTGGGCTGTCATCCACACGACGAGCCCCACGCACAGGTGGGGATGGTATTGCAGCGGAAACTAAACATGATTGAGCTCGACCGACACATCCAGCGTCCACGTACGATCGGCATGGCCGTGAGAAAGTTGTTCGGGCACCCATACAAGTACAAAGGCAAGAAGAGCCGCGTCATCGACATCCCGACTACGTAGCCATTGTCCAGTGGATTCCGCACTTCACGGTGGACGTTATGGACGATCTGCGGCACCCAGAACGACGACGCAATCACAACGAGCACTTGCATCCATGGCTAGTCCACGATCTCTCGCATTAGCAGCCATGTCGGTGGTCGAGGGCAACGTACCCAGCCGTAGTAGATCACGCATAGCCCCACCAGCAACGAAATGTAAAATCTCGAGTACAGCGTCGTGAGCTCTCGTCGCATCACGTTCCAGCCTTCCGTAAACTGCTGGGGCCGTCGTGCCTTCCAGATCAAGAGGAGGAAGCGCATTTCGAAGATGGAAAATATGATGAGCTGGAAGAATGACACGGTCGCGAACAGCGTAAAGATGTGCTGGGCCACAATGCCTGTCGTCAAGTGCAGCAAGCACAAGTACGAGTCGACGACTGCTTGGGCCCCAACTGTGACCAGGCTCACCTTGGCCGCTGCCGCCTGGGTGCTGCTCACTTGCAGTTGCTTGAGCAATAAGTAGATTTGTGCGAGGCACAGCAATGCCATCATGATGGCGTAACCACTCGCTTTCGTGTAAAACGTGTTGAAGTTTTCTTCGACAAACGTCGCGTTGGCACGCCAGTAGAGACCACACACGTCACTACCGGCGATCCCGGACACAGCGCCCACCGAGTTGACGTCGCCCGGTTTGATCAAATTTCGGTCCACTTCGAAGTCGAGCGTGTACACGCACTGCTCGCGCTGGGTCGGGAAGCCGCCCCCCGTGCGCAGTCGCTGGTTCGAGCCAGTGAACCTACAGGGGCACAATTGGCATCAGGAGGGCTCGACAAGAGAACCAAGGAGCACGCTAGACTGCATCGGAGCATTATCGTTTCGAAGGAACGAGTCGAACGCTTTGGACGAGACCCATGGCGCACGAGTTCAGCGGAGTCGGTGGGGCAGCACGATTCCAAACCAAACGATCAAGCCCAAAGCATCGACCAAGCAAAGGCTATGGAATATGCAAAAGATCCGACGAAGCGGCAGCGACCACGGCCTGCATCTTGTCACGTACGGATTGTATCGAGGCGGAGAAACTTCGAAGTGCATTTCGTCTTCTTCGTCGTCATCAATGTCGAGGCCGCCGATGGTTGAGCTGTTCGTGTCGGCGGCAGTATAGGACGGATATACCAAGTCGACGCTGGATTCGGGAATGTTTCCAAACAGCGTGAGGCGGCCGACACGACGGAGGAAAACGCCTTGGACCGGCAGGATCGTCATCGCGAGCATCTCGTCGTGCATGATGGCTTGCCCGACGACGTAAGCGATATCTTTGTTAACTTCGTTGACAGGCGACGGCTTTTCACTCAAGATAAGCCAGAGAATGCCGCTGTTGGACACGGTCGCGACGTCCGCCGACCCCGCGATGTGGGTCGTGTTCGAGGCTGCGCCACTCCCATAGTACGGGCGGTACGCTGGATGCACTGATCGATTCGCTTCATGCATTGCTTGTTCGGCTTGATAGGCTGTCTTCGACATCGTCACCCATTCGCCTTTATATACGCCGGTGATGTTGTCTTCCACAATGATCTGAAGGTGTAAGCATGAGGAGAGACAGCGATCAGACAAGGCAGTACTTGTCCAGGATGACGAAGCTGCCTCTCCGAGTCGAGTAGCGACAGGAAATATCGGATCTGGGTTGCGCGCTCCGTCGCGTTGTCCGTGAATGGCCACTACACGAAACAGGGCACATGACAAAGGGCCAGGAAAGACATGATTTGCAAACCTTGTCGGCAATCGATGGGCCAGCATTGCGCATGCGCGTTTGTTGCGTGTTGCCGTCCAGAAAGAGGAGAAAGAAGCACACGAAGATGGTCGTGCTGAGCAGCCGTTGCAAGCGATTCCGTTGCATGTTCATTTGGTACTCCTGCTCTTCTCGTCCGAGTATCATGAGGCCAGGCGGTTGGCCACCTCCACCGCTTCCCCCATTGTTGTTCCCACTTTGGCCTGCATATACCAAGATCACGGCATCGTTGCGCATGATGGTGGCGAAGTTCCACGATGGCGCAGGGAGATGACGCTGGAATAAAAAAATTGCTACTGTCCGTCGTCTGCGCTTCATACAAATTCCAATATATTCAGAATAGTTTAATTCCAAAATCCACATTTTTGCAATATGTAGGACAATATGCATATACTACTTCGAGCTGAACACAACACAAATAAACGAATTTTCTATCATTCTTAAGCAAAAATCTTCATTTTGATCTTCACATCTGGAATAATAATGATACATCAAATAATGCACAATACTTCACAATATTGCATATATCTCTAACGGCTTGCATTGCACATTGACACAATCCCACAAAGACATGTTGCCAACGTCGTCACAGTCGACGCCGCAATGGCAGCTCATTTTGTACGCGGCGATCTTCCTCGTGCTGTCCGTAGCCCTCTCGAACGCGATTGCGTGGCTCAAGCAGTTCCGGCAAGAGGCTCGCATTGCACAAAAGACGACCACGTTGACGCAAGATGCCTCGCCGACCGCAGGTCCGGTCATTCCGGTGACCATTCTCACGGGGTTTTTGGGCTCGGGCAAGACAACGCTGCTCAACTCAATCTTATCGTCTCCGGACCACGGATTCAAGATTATGGTATTGGAGAACGAACTGGGCGCGGTGAGCATCGACCACGAACTGATTGCAAACCACCCCCGCGACGGCGTCGTCGTCATGCAGAATGGGTGCATGTGTTGCTCGGCGCCATCCACGGCGACAACGAACGAACTCGAGCGGATCCTGGATCAGTTGCTCGAGATGCAGGCGGCGACAGACAGCTTCGACTACCTTATCGTGGAAACGACCGGGATCGCTGACCCCGGCCCGATCCTGAAGACTTTCTTGGAGCTTCGCGCGAGTCGGTTTCGTCTGGACGGAGTCGTCACGCTTGTTGATACAGCGTCGCTGCTGAAATTGGAGACACAGCAGTCGATGTGGCCGGTCGAGATGCATTCGCAATTGGCGTATGCTGACTTGATTGCGTTGAACAAGATGGATTTGGTCGACAGCTGCCAGAAGGAGGACGTTGCCGCGCTCACCCGACACATCCGAACCATCAACCCTGACGCCACGCTCGTGGAGTGCCACCACTCGCAGCTCGCGGTCGCGGACCTGCTGCATATTCGGACGTTTGACGCAAGTCGGTTTAACTTTGCCAGCGTGATCGCGTCTCAACACACTAAAGATCTTGACACGGTGGTGCTGACGTCCACGGCGCCGCTCAACTTAGGCGCGTTTGGCCACTGGTACGTGGTATGAAAGAAGGGAAGGGAGTTGTAATTCATGGGCACTGCATGCAGGCTGAACGGCGTGGTCGACTCGCACTGGAAGCGGGGCATCTTTCGCATGAAAGGACTTGTTCTAGACGTAGATGGGACCGTCTGGCTCCTCCAGTGTGTTCTCGACACGTACACGCTCGCCCCCACGACCGATCAAGTCGCGGCAAAGGTCAAGAAGAACTCGTCCTGTGCGTCCCAAGTCGTCGTGATTGGATTGCACCTTGACAAGGACGCGTTGAAAGCGTCATTTGCTGCCGTTGTGGCAGGCCATGCCTCTGCAAAAGACAAGGATGCTTAACTGGAAAGACATGCGTTCGAGTGGAGTTGATCGACACGAGCATGCACCCCATGGCGCTGGACAAGTTGCCGTGATGAGCTCTGCGAAGATATCCCTGGTCGCATGGCAGGATGTAGTGCCAGCACACACCACGTGACGTATTCGATTGAGAAGCAAGTTAAATAGGAATAAGACAGACGGGTTGGCCTCAAATGAAAGAGTGGTCGAGGCTATCGTCGGTGGAGTCGTTGCTGGCGTGGCGCTTCGGATCATTCAGGGCGAGAAGGTCTCTCCCTGAATCGTCAATGGGCGGAAGGCTACCGGTCGTATGTGGTCGCTGTAGCATGGCCGTCACCACAAGCTTGTCGAACCAGCCACTCAAGGTTTCGGCGGACCGAGTCGGCAGCCGCAGGTGCAGTTCATTGCCGGCGCTCAACGACACGACGAGAGTGTCGGTGCGCTTGGTGTCTCGGCGAACTCCTTGGATGTACCCGCGACGGCGAGGGACGTCGTACGGCCTGTCAGTCATGTAGTACGACAGCATGCGGTCTTGCAAGACAAAGTAGTATCGATTCCATCGGCGCAGAATGTCTGAGCGCTTGAGGAGCCAGCCACATTTATCGACGCGCAACGTGTCTCGGGCGACACTACAATCGTTGAGAGGATCGGTGGATCGCATAATTCCAGCGCTCGCAGCTTTGCTCGATGGCGAGAGGAAGTCTTGGTGGTGTTCGTGGTTCGACGCTGACCACGAGCGAGATCGAGTGAAGGCCGTGGCCCGCAGCGCAGCTAGCCAAGTCTGTCGGATATCCGAGCGAGGGGCGCGGATCTCGATCACTTTACCACTCGTGGCAAACACCTTGAACCCGAGCTTGTTGTTGATTTCTTCGATGTGCGCGACACGAAGGACACCACGAGGTTGAGCCCCAGTTCCCAGGGCCGTGGCGTGTTGGATGAGATGATGGGCTGGGGACGCGCTGTTCGACGACAACGTCTGTTGCTTGATGAATTCTTCCGACGGAAAGGATTCATAGTAGCTGAGCACCCCTTGGGTAAAGCTGAAGTATCGGTGCCGCCATCGACCGAGCAGGGAGCTACGCATCCAGAGCCAGCCGGAGAGGTCAGAGTCCGGCGTGGCATGGGGAGACGGTGGTTCGTTGGGGTTGAGCATGTAACTGGTGCCGTCCATGATTGGCATGCCCAGGTCTTCGTCATTTCGACGTCGCGCCGCCGCCGCCGGCGGCAGTTGGGATGCCCGTGTCATCATCTGTCACAGGCAGTCACGATGAGATTTGTCGACCAACTTGCGATTCTGTTGGAAGAAGCCGTTTTATGCGTGTTATGTGACCTATCGTAGGTTGAATACACGGGATTGGTGAATCAACCAAACTATTGATTCAAAAAAATTGGTTTAAACAATATTTATCGTTTTATGCTGCATTGCATACAGCGCCCCCATTGATCAGTGCACGGCGCATCACAATGACGACGTGATTCAGCACCAGACGGAGTGTCTAGGTACATCAATCTCTCGCTTGAAAGACCGAGTGCTAGTGCCGCAGCGCGCGTGGTGGCTGTTTTAACGTGCCATCTTCCGACGTGTCCAGGGCGAATCTCGCGTTGTGCTGGCCACTTGCGACGGAAGAGCCCATCTCCTGCCTCGACAACCAATTGATTTCATTGGTTGAAATAGATTGAATTTTATCGAGTCAAATCGGAGTTCCCCCAAATCTCAAGCATTGGCGCCAAGCATTGCGGGTAGACACGCAAGAGGTCCTCGTGTCCAGAGCCATCAACTGTATGGATTCCGCCCGCATTACGCAACGATACCTCGGCTTCTTGCCACCGAACCGCAAGCTCTTCTCGTCCACTCGACTGGAAAGAAATCGAAGCTGTTTTGGTCGTGGCCTCTCGTTGATG